AATACCTTTTTAAAAAATTAAATGAGATAGGCTGGTATTCGGGAGGCAGAGGCAGGAGAATCATAGCAAGTTGGGGGTGGGGGAGGGCGGCTTGGTCTACATAGTGAACTAGTTAGTTCCAGGCTGGCCATGGCTACGGAGTGAGAATCTGAGAGAAAGGGGAAGAAAGAAAGAAGGGAGCGAAGTAAGGTGTAAACTGCAAGAAACAGTCTTCAGTTAGTGTCAGTGACCATTATGACTGCTCCCCATTCCCCGACTTGTCAGCCCTTCTCACTTCCAGTCTCAGGTGGCATCTTCTGAGCGGGTCTCCTTCCATCCTCTTTACCCAGGTTACGGCTCTCTCTTCCACTCTCCTATAACATCTGAAGTCTTCATTCATAACAGACTGTACTTTGTGGCTGTAACTAAGCGATCATTTTATTACTGTCTGTGATCCCCACCCACCAGGGGGTCCTCCAAGATCCTGGCACAGTACCTGGTACATACGAAGTCATAACATCTTTTTATGAATGCTTGATAGGGCTGAGGAAGTGGAGCCGATGGGTGCAGGTGACTCAGGACAGCTCTGTCTCCGGGTATGACACTAGCCAAGCCAGCACAAGGCCGTGGGTTCAGTGGCAACAAAAGGAGGGACTGGGGATGGGAACAGTAGAGGGCATCAAGATTCCCTGCTTTCTAAGCTGGCAGGTAATTAAGCGTGTTTAAATGGTCACCAGGAGGGGTGAGGGCCCTGACAGTTGGGAGGGTTGAGACTTAGAATAGGAACCAGAAGAATCAGTCTTGGCTGGAAGAAGAGAGAGACACCTCTTCCGAGGTACAGAAAGTGCAGAAAATTCAGCTCCAGATCTAGGTGTGACAGCACAGCCCAGACCTTCCCGTGAGTGATCGTGCTGAACCTAAGCAGGAAACTTGAATCCTCTGAGCAGCTCAGCATGCTTGGTGGATATCATTCCATTCACTTTTGCACCTCACAGGAAAAGGAAGCAGAGGTTCTCCTTGTCATTGACTGTACTGATTCACTACAGTGCAAAATAACAAGTTTCCAGAGCAACCCAGTCGCAGAGCTGAGGCGAGTGATCTCAGCATTCCCTTCACTGAGCATGCTTCCTTTCCAAATTGGGAAACAGTACAGTGAAGTAGGACTGTGATAAAATAATGGCTGCCATGGATTGAGTGCTTACTATGGGCAGAATGCTATTCCATTACTTTACCTGCAATAATTCACTCGGCCCTCACATCTTGCAGGTCCAGGTAAGTACATATCTAAGGTCGTACAACAAAACGCGATTTTATTTATCTGTCTGAGACAGTCTCCCACTCTGTAGTGCAAGTTATTCTGGTGACCTTCACACTGCAGCCTCCTGAGCACCTGGATGACCTGTGTGAAGCACCACGCACAGCTCCTGGCTAGATCTTCATCTCGGGGAGTCCAACTCCAAACCCACTGCTGCCTTCCTTCCCTCACCCCTCCGGTGCTGGGGATTAAATTCAAGGCTTTGTGCTGTAGGGAGCTGAACTACCACTGAGCTACCCGGACCCCAAATTTATACTTTTGATTATTCTGCCATACTCTTCCTCCGAACAGACTAGGAATTAGAAGACAAGGAGTCTCTACCATGAGTTAATTCTATTAACGTGGACTTCCACTTAGGTGTCTAAATAGCATTTTGTTCATCAATAAATTAAGGATGAAAATTAGAATGCTTATATTACAAGGCTTTTGAAAAATGTGCAATGCTGAAAGTGGGAGATTAATCTACAAAAGCTACTATTTATGTCAACCACCCTTGCCTCCTAATGGCTACAATCTAACAGGCTGTCACTGAGACCCTCCGTTCCCAAAATCATGAGTAGCAACAATAAATGGTTTTCAGTTTGTTTGGTGGTCAGCTAATTCCCATCCCATGATCAATTTTAATGTCCCTGGCCAAGTTTCCACAGTGACCATTGTGTGCACCGTGGCCTCTTTCTTCCTGAACATCCAGAATACTCTGGCCTCTGGGGACAGCAGACGCTTACATCCTCTCCTGATTCCATTGCCTGAAGAAGAGCGATGTGGTTTTTGTTTTGTTTTCTTTGCAGTCCTGGGTGGCCTGGAACTCCCTTGCTGAACGGGCGAGACTGGCTTTGAACTCACACAGGTTTTGCCTGCCTCTGCCTCCTGAAGTGCTGGGATTAAAGGAGTAGCACATCCAACACAAGTGACTTTAAAAAAAATCATAAATACCCTGAATTACAGTTTACAGTGAGCAGTACCAGAGACGGCTAAGTTCCGGGGTAATGGTAGAATCTCAGGTCAGATTAGCCGTCTTTAACAAAACTCCCAACCCCTCCCCCAACTCACTTTATGTATGAGGAAAACCAAGGCCAGGTAGATGAAGCATAAACTGTTGAGTGGTGGTAGCAAGATTGTGTTTTACCTTGCAGATTTTTAAAAGTACATTTAGCACAATGATTTCACTTGGTGAAAATCATACATGTAGCTGTCTTGGTTATGCATACCTTTCCAGAAAAAAAAAAAGCAAAATGCTAACATTTGGCTACCAATAAAACCATTATAAAGCCTTAAGCCCAATAATTCACAGAAAGAGCATCCGTTTTGTTGGCCTTGCTTGTCCATTTCAGACATTCCCCAGGTTTGAAGGGGGCTACCTCTTTTCTGGAGTATGTAACCCAACGTCTCTACAAAATCCATCCTGTTTTTCAGTTTTGTTTTTTTTTTCCTTCTGGTTCCTCCCTGAGCTTAGCTCTCCAATCTGGAAGAACAGTACTTTCAGAGCTGGAGTGGGGGTGGGAGTGTCACATGACAGAACGCACTTTTAGCACCCACTCTGTGCATTTGCTCTGATTTGGGCATATTTCCTTCCTCTCCTAAGCAGATAGCAGCTCACCTTGGTTAATGCCATTAAACCGTAGACCACTCAGCTGCTAATAAACCAAGAAGAAACCCAGCCGTGCCAGGCCTAGAAATGTCCATCCCTGCCCCCAACCCCCTTAAGACAGTGACTAGGCCAGAATGCTCCTGGTTGATAAATGAGAGGAGCTGAGGAGCCGCTGTGATGACGGTTCCGAGAATCTGATTTGTGAGAAGGCGAACCTCCAGGAGCACCATGGAGATGCTTTTGGAAAGCGGGCCAGCCTACCTGCCGGAAGGAGGACGAGAGAAAGGGGGCAAGGCAGAAAGAAACGCTTAAGCGAGATGGCCTGGAGGTGCTCAAAAAGGGACATCTGAAAAGGAAACGGAGGCCGCATCTCGGGGAAACCTCGGAGGTGAGTGACATTAAAAAGGGCTGCCCTGCGCATCCCGGCAAAGGCGCATCAGAGACAAAGGTGGAGTGTCCAAACTGGGAAGAATGAGCCCCGTTAACTGTGGGTGGTACCCGAGGACCGGAAGGTGGGGGTCAAGCAGGGCATCCACGCGGAAGACCGTGGGGGGTCGGGAGCCGGCGGAGGAGCGGCCGTTCTGAATTTGCCCCGGGGAAGGTCAGCGACCCCCGGCCGGGGAACCACTGTAAGAACGGAGAGGGGCCGCGGTTGCCATGACGCCGGGCGGGGAGGGGGTGCCTCGTGCCCCGCCCCTAGCCCCGCGGGGCCCGCGAGCTCCAGATGGTCCCGGGCCTCCCGCGGGAGCCGGCGGCCTGCGGCAGGGGGAGGCTATTGTCCTCCTTCCGCCG